AATCATTCTTAAGTCTCAAATGCCACTGATTTTGCAAAATGAAACCTAGGAGGAAAAGCTTTCCTAAAAGACTGCCAGGAATTTCCCTGCTGGCCAAAGTTAGCCTATCATTTCTTTTGTTTTATTTTTTTGTATGTTTGGAGACAGGGTCTCTGTTGCCTTGGCTAGAGTGCGGTGACGTCATCATAGCTCACTGTAACCTCAAACTCCTGGGCATAAGCCCATCACTTTTTTTTCCTAAATAAAATTTTAGTAGAACACATCTATGCTCTTCTATTTACATATGGTCTACGGCTGCTTTCCTGTTACAGCAGGACGAATAGTTGCGACCTGGACTGGATGACCCGAGAAGCCTAAGGTCACTGTCTGGCCCTTTATAGAAAATGTTTCTGACCTTGGAGTACACCACTTACCACTCCAATTACGATGCCATTTTCTAAAATACATTCAAGAAAGTTGACTCACTGTGCACAGATAACTCAGTCCAAGATCTTCTTCCTTTTATAAAAAATTAAAATGAAATGGCATCAGCATTATACTCGTCCATAGCAATATGCCATAAGGTAGTGAGTAAACGTTCCTCATGCTGTTGACTTGCCAGTTTCTGAACAAAACTTCACATTTTCAGTGTAGTCGTACTTAACGTTTCTCTTTAAATTTTGAATTTGTAGAAATTATAACAATTCGCTTCTCAAAGACATTTAATGTGGGACACTGACCTAACTTCCTGGCTGAGAACACAGACAGCTGGAGTGTTACTCATCACCCAGTGTACTCAGATGTGAGTGCCGTTTTAAATGGTGCTAGCAATTGGGAGCGCTGTATGGCTCTTTCTGCTCTGTTTTCTAGTCTTTCTTCAATAAATTCTTAGCAGAAGAGGATTCCTATGCATTTCCCTTCCTTGGTTACTCATAAAAATGAGCTGCTGCTGCCAGAAAGTCTGGGTGGTGCAGGGAGGCAGCTCACAGAACACCCTGGGGTGTTTACCTTTAGGACAGAACACCCTGGGGTATTTACCTTTAGGGCGTTTGCTCTTACCTTCCTCCTAAACCAATCAGGAATTCCTCAGGAAATACATCCCCCCTCTCCTTCCCACCCTTAAGCATAATCCCTTCTTTCTGAAGCAATTGGTAATCATGGACAGTATCTTGAAAGAGCGCAGATGCTGCAACCATTCCGCTTTATAGAGGAGGACCTCGCCAACACCCAGCCTCACGGCACTTTTCTTGGTGCCGTCTCAGCATCACAGTTGCTGATGGAAGCATGAATGCTAATTAGCATTTTAAGAGATTTTAATACAAATTGTCAGTTTGACAATAGGGGCAGGTCTAATCATAAATGCCGTATTTGATCTCTCTCCTACTAATTTAATCCTTGCTTCAGTAAAATTAATTCTCTTACAAGGGCTAGGGAAATACAACGGTTTTGCAAAGGAAAAGGTGATAATTTTGTGAAGTCATAGCCATATCCCCTGCAGTTAAGTTGCTTTTGTCTGGGTTTCTCTCTCAGCACTGGAAATGCTCTCTCTTATATTTTACAATAGATGTTCCCATTTTTCTCGTGATCTGTCCGGAAATCTTGGTGAATACCAAGCTTTTCTTGTACTTTGGGAAAGCTAAGCTCCATTATTGGCGAGTCAGATGAATTTAATCACTGCTGGTGATTGGAGAGAGCGCACACGTGCAGATTCGTGCTGTGGCAAAATGGCTCCCTCTCGCAGCCCCTCAGAGCCGTGTGTAACCATCAGCACCTGCCCAGGAATTGAGAGGTTTCACGGAAGCCTTTTAAATTTAAGTGCACTTATGACTCCTCATAAGATGGCAAACTTCTGGGCAGGAATAACCATGTGCCTTTGTCTTCGTATCCTTTCAAACAGCCCAAATTGTTGCTGTGGCTGTTGCTGACAAGTAAGGAGAAAAAAGGAAGATTGTCTATTATGTCTTTCTGGTCAGCTGTACTATAACGAAATTAAATTTTTTTTCCATGTTCTCATTCTCTTCATAAAAGCTTTATTTTCAAAGAAATGTATTTGGATAAATAATTGAGACGTCACTCCTGTTAACACTATATTGTGTTTTTTTCAATGTTTGAGGCTTAACATTTAAAAAAACTAAATTTGAGAGTTTTGAAAAATGTTCTTGCCGTTATTATTTGCCAAGAAAGCTGCATTTCCTGGTGATTGAGTGAAGTAGCTGTGCCCTCTCCCCCTGCACGGGGCTTCCTCCTCCGTAGGCCTCAGCCCATGGGCTGCCCCCTGCTCTCAGCCACAGGAGAGGCAGCTGCCGCCCCTGTTCTGTTTCCTGGTCTCCTTCCCGGCTCCTTGTCACCCATGAATCCCAACACAAACCAGGTTTGTAATTACTGGTTTGTACAAGGTATCAGGATAGGATGGGAATGGGGATTGAATTAAAATAAACATTAGGAACGTTATAATGGCTCACGGGAACTCAGCTAATAAACACTTCAAGGAATCACTCGTCCGCATGAACATGGATGAGGGGTAAAAATTGTTGCATTCCAGCCCCTCCTCAGTCTTCCTTCCTAGAATCAGACAGGACATGTCAGCTTGCAGTAAACCAGATCTTACTCAGATTAGCTCAAGAAAGGAACTTGTTAGATGTATGCCACCTGCTTTCAGGACAGCTGAGCGAGTAGGCCTCAGGGAGAGCAGGGACAGAGGTAGATTGTAGGGCCTCAGCAGTGGGTGTGGGACTGTAGGCTGCTCAAAGTCCGGTGACCCTGAATGTCAGGAGGGGAGATGGTGCTTGCCCGGTGCTGATGCCTGAGCCAGCTGGCGGCAGCCCAAGTGTGTGGGGCTGCCTTGCTCTGCGCTGTGGATTCAGACATGCAGGTAAGCTGGCCACTGCCATCCTAAGCATTGGCAATCCACATCCCCCCTCACTTTATTCTTCTTTTTAATTTCAGATTAATATGAAGGTACAGATGATGAGGTTACATTGTTTGCGTTTGTGAGGGGTAGTCCAAGTCGTAGTTAGGCCCCTCCCCAGGAGGCGTGCCGTATACCCTTACATCCTGTCTGTCGGGCCCATCACTTTATTCTTTGGCACAAGTGGGGACCCCCAGAGATTTCTCTGTTTATCTTTTGCAATATACCTAACTTTCCAGAAATATTACATTCTTCTTGTCTTTATTCTGTTAAGAATTTTGTCGATAGAAGCCAGTAATGTTAATTTGGATTTCTGACTTTCATGACTAGCAGTCTTCAGTCTTGGATTACAGGTGGATTAGAGGAGGAAGAGGTGTGGCATAAATTATTTAGTGTAAGGTCTCATGGCCATTTTACATTCAACAATTCAAAAACATTCTCAGTCACTCCTTTCAAGTTTCTGTGTTAGATGTTTTAAGGAAAGGTACTAATCAGCCAATATCAAGTTAGTGTTACATGTCAGTGACTGCTAAATGGTTTCATGGGTAGGAGCTAATGTTTATTCTCTAGCACATCTTTGAGCTGGGCACTGCTACCATCTCCATTTTCAGAGCAGAAAAATTAGACTTGCAAAGTTTAGGCCAGGTGTAGTGGCTTGCTCTTGTAATCCACAAGGCCAGCACCAGTGGATCGCTTGAGCTCAGGAGCTTGAGACCAACCTGAACAAGAGCTCCCATCTCTACTGAAAATAGAAAAACTAGCCGGGCATTGTGGTGGGCACCTGCAGCCTCAGCTACTCAGGGAGGCTGAGACAAGAGGATGGCTTGAACCCTGGAGTTTGAGGTTGCTGTGAGCTATGATGCCACGGCACTCCACCCAGGGCAACAGAGTGAGACTGTCTCAACAAACAAAACAACAAAACAGGAAGCTTAACTTAACCAAAAAAATGGCATTGAGTTAATTCAAGTATAATATACATATGATGAACAGGTAGGTAGGTGGACAAAATTGCAGCCTAAATACCAGGCCGGAGAACTTGAGGTTATTCTTTTTTTTTTTTTGTAGAGACAGAGTTTCACTTTATTATCCTCAGTAGAGAGCTGTGGTGTCACAGCTCACAGCAACCTCCAACTCCTGGACTTAGGTGATTCTCTTGCCTCAGCCTCCCAAGTAGCTGGGACTACAGGCGCCCGCCACAATGCCTGACTATTTTGTTGTTGTTGTTGCGGTTTGGCTGGGGCTGGGTTTGAACCCACTACCCTTGGTGTATGGGGCTGGCACCCTGCCCACTGAGCCACAGGCACTGCCCGAGCTTGAGGTTATTCTTTTGGTGACAAAGACTCAAAGGAGTTCTGGGTTCCTGGGGATGATGTCACAACTCTCCTTAGGAAAAATTTCTCTTTCAGTACAGTGTGGGATGGGAGGGACTGCCAGTAACTAAGGAGGCCTCTGATGGGATAGGGGCAAGTGTAGATGCCGAGGGTGGGAATGGAATACAGGATGAGGTAGTTTTCTTTTAGTCTTCCCTGTAAGTCCCCTCTCTGGACCTTGGTTTTAAATGTTCTAGCTTTTAAGCATGCTAGCACAGAGTGCGGCTGCTTGTGCGGCTGCTTCTGCGGCTGCCTATGATTTCACTGACCTACATAAATAAATAAATAAAATAAAACAGGAGAAAATCAGAAAGTTAACTTTTGAAAAATTTTGCTTATCTACCAGCTATCTTGCATTTTGAGGAAGTATAATAATTGAACTCGTAGGATCCAGGGGTTTAGCTCGGAACTCTTAGAATTAACCTATAATTCTGAGCCTTATTTTTGCCAATGATAAGTACCTTGTTCAGCTGTGATGCCATAATTTCTCCTGTAATTCTTTTCACTGGAGTCAAAACAACACAATTTCAAAAGGGGAAAAAAAAAAAAGAAAAGGTAACACAGTGTCAATTTTCTTGGTATCTGATCTCAATGGAAAATAATATGTCTAGGGAGAAAGGCAGGAAAGAGTATGCGTCCTCTCTTCTGTATCCGTACTTTTTACATCCCGTAAGCATTGTCTGTTTTAAGCTACCTAAAGATTTGTGAATTAATCCTGACAAAGCATGATCGTTCTCCTTCAGCAGATTTCTGCCCATGGCAGATCTTCTTCCAATGTAAATGGTGGACCTGAATTGGATCGTTGCATGAGTCCTGAAGGTATTTCTCCATCTGATCATTACTTTTGTAAAGGAAACCGTCCCTGCGAAGTTGGTAGCCACCCCAAATCCACTTGTGATAAATCACCATCTTCCTAAACAGGACAGTGATCATATCTCCTAGCAGTCTAGTGAGCCTTGGCGGGTGCGTTGTGGGGGTGGGGTATGCTTCAAGTTACGTAAAATCTCAAACTGTCTTTAGTTAGGCTATTGCAGCTTTAAATTTGGGACTTGGGCTTCTTTCATTTTCCCTTAACAGTGATGTGCTCATAACTCCTAAATGTATTTCCTTTTTCGCAGTCAGAGAACAAAAATGTGTTTGTTTGTTGCCTGTTATGTGCTGAGCAATCCTGGTGAAAAGTGGGCCATCTTAAACTCCCCCACATACACCTTGCTAAGAAGGCTTTGAGCCATACATTAGCCCTAACAATACATCTTGTCTAGTTAGAATTGTCTTTTTTGGAGAATCTTGAGAACCTTTCAAAGACGAAATTCCTGCCACCATCCCATTCTCCCCACCATTCTCATTCTTTTATTTTTTAAAGAAATGTGGGGGTCTTGCTCTGTTGCCCATGCTGGCCTCAAATTCCTGGGCTCCAGAGATCCTCCCACCTCAGCCACTTGGCTATTCCCTATTCTTGGGCATTGACAAAAAGGCTTCATAAAAAGTTTGGAAAAATTTTAATTAGATGTTCTTTTCACCCAAGTTTGATCACTTATATTTTAGCTGATATTTCAGAGATTTGTTAATTTGTTGAATATGGTGGTTTCTGATTCTAACCAACAAGGTCAAAAGGAAATTGATGATTCAGATGTTCTATTCAGGAGATATGCTCAGAGATTACTTTCACCCTAGATTTAAAAATAAAGGCATTGCAGTTTAATGTTTTATAAACACATAGGAATCAATATAAAATGCTTATGTTTTCTTGAGACTTTGCATTTATCCTTTTTGCAGGTGTGAATGGAAACAGGTGCTCTGAATCAGCTCTTCTTGAGAAGTACAAAATTGGGAAGGTCATCGGTGATGGCAATTTCGCAGTTGTCAAAGAATGTATGGACAGGTGAGTGGATAGGAAGCATAGTTATTTGTTTATCTACCTTTTTTGCTTCAAGTTTATTCTTAACCAAAGGCCTGTCTGGGAAGTCTTTTTCCCCCCTTTCCTGAAAGGGTCTACCCTTGAGACCACCCACTGTGCATGCCCATAAGCAATTTAACAAGAAAAATTGTATGTATACAGGTAGAGGATCAAGCAGTGATGTGCGTTTGGGTGAGAGAAATAGCTGGCTTCGTCCAGAAGCCAGAGAGGAGCAGGAAAAAATAACAGTCATTTTGGTAGAAAATCTCCTATAACATTTACCCGAGCCAGGCATCATTCTCAGGCTGTACTGCTAATAAGTCATTTAATTCCCACAGTAACCCTCCCTCTCAGGTATCACTTAACTGAATATAGTTAGATGTGAACTCTGATCAGACTGAAGATCAGAGTCAGCCTACTTTTGCCCATTCCAGACCTTTATAAACAATATTAAAACCAGAAATACTCAGATTAGATTCGTGTTTAGACACCCCATCCTGCCTATTCTAAGGGCTAATTTTCATGGTTTTTCCATTTTGTTACACTTCTGGTGAGGCTTTAGTGTTTCTTATTGGTACATAAGATAACTCCTTTTTACTTAGCTCTAGTACATAGATTGACACATTAAGTATCCAAAATATGACTTGTAAAGCCTTGTTTGAAATCCCTGGCAGGGTTTAGTTTATGTTATACAGAGGGAGCAATTTAAATAGTTACAGTCCTAAACTGGGCCTGATCGGTGTGTGCTGATTACCTGGCAAAACAGCTGCCCTAGAGAAAATTGACGTGGCCTTAGAATATTGCGGTGTTCTTTATTAAGCTGCCTTCCTAAACTAACAGGTGTTTTTGGCATGTTCAAATTAGATCATGTTAAAGGTGGTTGGAAAATTAAATAATCACATCAGGGTTCTCATGTCCAAGTAAATTATGTTTCTCATGCCAGTAAGGGCATTTGAAAATGTGAACAGTGTGACACCACATCCTCGCTGATGTATCGGCTGAGAAATAAATAACACAAGTCTGGGGACTTTTCAGTGCTGAGTTACGGGGCTGATGTAGCGTATTAATGTGAGACACCTTGATAATAAAGTTTTTAGTAAATTTGATCGATTTTTTATTAACTTTATTCTGTCTCCTAAGAGTACTATTTTGGATTTAAATATGGAAAAAAATTTTTTTATCTATTGCTGATACAACAGAATTAAAATACCTTAAATATCAGTTGATTAATATTATAATTATTAATATTTATAAAAGGATACTTAATTAGTGTAAGTGTGGCCCTTTTTTCCACTTAGCATTGTCTTTGCACAGAGGAAGCAGCCAAGTTTCTCTTCTGAGTCTGTGCTATCAGAGAAAATAGGAATGATAGTGTTTTTTACTCATGTCTTTAAATGACCTTCCTCTGATTCTTCCATAGGTCCACTGGAAAGGAGTTTGCCCTGAAGATTATAGACAAAGCCAAATGTTGTGGAAAGGTACTGTAAAGATAACTGCTATGTAAAAGAAATGGAAATAACTCAGTGAGATATTTACTGTGATGAAGGAACTTAAGTGGGGATTTGACAAATTGTAGCAGGAATAGACTACTGGTAATAGTGGGGGAAACAGTCTAACCTTTTTTCCTTACTATTTTCGGGAAACTTTAATTCTGAAATAGTATTTGATTTTGGTCCTAACTAAAAAACAGAAGTTCTTTTCTCTGGGAGATGCCTGTTTCAAAATCCAGCAACACTCAAAAGTTACATCAAGAACTGTGAGGAGTCTCAGACTTTACTTTCAAGCTTACAAATTAGCTTTCTAGCTTCATAGAGGCTGGCAGAACACACAAGATTCCTGGGTCAGAAACAAAAGACTTTATTAAAAGGTGACATGAACTCCTGGTTGTGTTGCTTCCCCTTTAACTCCCAAGTCCTGTGGAAATGATGCAGTGGGACCTGGTTAGGTGATATATGCACAGTGGGTTTGCATCACAGTTGGGAAACCCCTAGCTTAGGAAACCCCTATCTTAAGAAGGGGCTGCTGAAACTTTGACCCAGAGGAGAATGTTATTTTCGTTATTCTAGTCAGGAAGGAAATCTTCCCTTTCCCCTGTCTCTGTGTTTTAAGAGCTGATGCAAAATTAACTGAAGCACTGTGTAGAATTGTCTTTCCAGTAAGACAAACTTTAATCTTCTGTCCCACTCTGAAACTGTGACTGGAGAAAGATCAACTGGTAAAATGCTACTAGAGCTACTGATACTTTAACTATATTTGGAAACAGTAAATATTGCATAAAAGTGATAACAAAGACCTGTCCAGATTCCTTTCTGGTAGTATCTCTGTTAACAGAGCCGTCCCTGCAACTATGTTGTCTAACACTGGAGCTACCAGACACATATGGCTACATAGCTCAGGAAATGTGGCCAGTCTGAATTGGAATATGCTGTGACTATAAAATACACCCCAGATTTTGCAGACTTATCTTAGTACTAAAAAAGGAATGTGAAATATCTCAGTATCCTTCTATTTGATTACATGTTGAAATGAAAATACTTGAGATATATTGGGTTAAGTAAGTTACATTTTAAAAATAATTTTACTTGCATTTTACATGTTTAATGTGACCGATAGACAATTCAGGATTACACATATGAATCATATTATGTGTCTGTTGGACGTTGGTGCTCTAGAGCCAGGTTGTATAAAGTGTATTCCTGGCTCTGCCTGTTTCCTGCTGTGTTACCTTAGAAAAACTATTCAATCCCTCTGTGCCTCTGTTTCTTCCTCTAATACCTGGTTGTTAATAATAACTAAGACATAAGGTCATTGTTAAGGTTTCTTGAATTAAAGCGTGGAAGACATGGAAACCTGCCACCATATACGAAAAATTTAACACGTTAACTATTAACATTATTAATATGCCAGAGGAATTTAAAATTTACGTTTAGCAGGACTTGATGGGATAGTAGTGATTTTATTGCTTTGGGACTCCTAAAGTAGTCTTCATTTGGCTTCTACAGAATTGTATATTTTTAATAAAAAACTTAAAATGTTATGATAAAATTTAGAAAAATCTTCCTAGAACCCCTAACAGAAAATCCAGGAGGCAAATTTATTATTTACTTTTTTCACTACATGGTGATGATTAATGAGGCAAAGACTGCAAAATGCCCCCTTGAATAAGTAATGTTCTCTTTTCTTTATATTTAATTTTCTTTAAATACTTTAATATGCTTTTCTTCTTCTAATAATAGTACTGACTTCTTTAAACGGTGGTAGCCATTTCACCAAGAGTTGCTCTTTCCTTCTGGAATTGTGTGATTTAAGCAGAATGTGTCAAAATTTGGGAAGCTGGGTTATATACAACTATATTAAATTTTTTTTTCAAAAAAGAAAAAAAAAATGCCATGGTAAGGATATTATTTACCTATTAAAACATAAGCAGCTGTCTCCATAATCAAAAAAAGAGATCTTTTTTTTTTTTTTTTTTTTTTTGGGCAGAGCCTCAAGCTTAGAGTGCTATGGCATCACAGCTCACAGCAACCTCCAACTCCTGGGCTCAAGCAAGTCTCCTGCCTCAGCCTCCCAAGTAGCTGGGACCATAGGCGCCTGCCACAATGCCCGGCTATTTTTTGGTTGCAGCCATCATTGTTATTTGGCAGGCCCAGGCTGGATTCGAACCTGCCACCTTAGGTGTATGTGGCTGGCGCCTTAGCCACTTGAGCCACAGGCACCGAGCCAAAAAAAGAGATCTTTTTATGCAAAATAAATTTTATCTGGTACATGATGTGCTGAGGCCAGTGGGTAGATCATGTCAAACATTTATATCTTATTTTTCTTATTACTGAATGTCATTCTGTTTTTATAATTCATAACCATGTGTTTTTTCCACCCTTACATCTTCCTTATTGAGCAACTGTTTCCACATTAAAATTATATAAAGTTATAATTTCAAAACTCAATTTGTTATAAATAAATAAGTTTTATTTTTAGAAAAAACAGTACAGAGAATTTGCTTTTAAAAAATATTTAAAGAGGGTGGCACTCAACCTCTTTTCTGGGGTATTACCGGTCACCTTGTTGTATACAGAAAATTAATAATACTGAATATGTCTGAACATATCTGTCATTTGTTAAAACGTCTTATTTATCTAGCTTTGGATATATAGGAACTTTGCACACTGCCTTAATGACTTACAGAACAGAAGTACCAGTTTTATAGATAAAGAAACAGAGACTCAGATAGCTTCTAAAAAGTCGCCCAGACGCAAAGCAGTGGCTGGATTCAGTGCTGTTGGTTTATAGTATTGGCAAGTCTACCGTGATTCCTCTGTAAGTTCAATTTATCAATTTCTTCATGTGATAAGAACCTGGGAGGGGGGAGGAATCCTCCTTTTGCCTTCTGTTTGCTATCTGTAATGTACATGAGCATTATTAGATTAATTTATTCATTCAGATTTGGAGTGTGTATTCTGTGTGTAAGACACTGGGCTAGGCATAGGGTAATTTGACAAATTAATACCAATTCTGCAAAGAGTGTTATGGCAGTTCAGAGGAAGCCTGTGGAGAGAGGTAGGTGACTGCTGAAGACTCCAGTGCACAAGAAGTACTGGGGTTGGAGCAGGAACCGTGGGCGGGATTTCAATAGGCAGAGATGGGAGAACAGCCTACCAGGTGGCCAGAGCCGCCCACACCAGGGCCGAGGACAGAAAGCGTGTTGGGACCGTCTAAGTAGATTATGGCAAGAGCTGCCTTGGGGCCTGATTTATGGAGGCTGTTTTGAAGGCTATGGTATTTGTAAGTTTAAGAATTCTTCCAGCTCTAATATTCTCTTTCCTTCTAAATAAATATTTATTGAATTCCCACAGTGTATGAAGCCCTGAGCTTAGAAGTGGTCCTGCTTTCTCTTCCCACCTGATACGATTTTGCATTCGTCATCTGCATGGGCCCAGGCAGGACATAAATCCAGAAGTATATTGTATTAGTTTCCTGAGGCTGTTGGAATAAATTACTGCAAACTTGGTGGGTTAAAACAACAGAAAATTATTTTCTCACAGTTCTGAAAGCTAGAAGTCAGAAACCCATGCTGCTCCGGCGCTTGTGAGGGTAATTTATTCCTTGCCTGAAAGCAGCTTCTGGTGACTGACAGTGTTCTTGGGCTCCGGGCCCCTCACTCCAATCTCTCCCTCTGTCTTCCTGGCGCCTTCTCCTCTGTGTTTATCTCTCCTCTGCTGTCTGAACACATCTCCCTCTTTTTTATAAGGACCCTTGCACAGGCGTTTAGCACCCCCACCCCACATAACCCAGGGTCATCTCTTCACTGCAGGATCCTTGATCACTTTTGCAAAAACCTCTTTTCTAGGCAAGCTAATATTTACAAATTGTAGGAATTTGGATTTGGTATCTTTGGGTGGCCATTGTTCAATCTACTACTTACATTTGCCACAGATATCACATATGGCAGTATGAACATTTTGTCCCTTACTGTATTCAGCAATATTCACAAAGCAACACTGATGTCAGCTGTGAAGCCGCTGCAGCGCCGACGCAATGGGAGAAGTGATTATTCACACAAGCACTTCGGTACATACTGGTTGTTAGCAACTAACCATGCTGGGTGCTGGAGAAAGGTAAATACAAACCTCCACACGCTCTCAGTTCCAAAGCATTACAGACCAGCACGTGGAGGATTAAAACACAGCAGGACAGAGCAGGGATGGAGGAAGTACAGGTGGGGCAAGAGCGTGTGGCAGGGCACCTGGCCCATCCTGGAGTGAGCAGGGAGGCTTCTCAGAGAAGGAGAGGTCTAATCTGGTCCTGAGGAATAAATAGGAATGACTTAAGAAGTGGGTAAACAAAGTTCTGGACAAAGACAGTCTAGATGAGAGATTGGCGAGAGGTCTAGAGAGAAGGGAGTGGGTGGGTTCAGAGGCCACCAATGAGACAGAGGGGCAGGGATTGTGGCTATTAGAGGGTGAGAGAAGGAGGGTTGAAGTGTAATTCCTAGCTGGCTTGGGGCAGCCACGTTCAACGTGGGCAGCCACGTTCAGGGAGACAGAACACAGGAGGAGAGGACTCTTTGTTGGGGCTGGGACGGGTTGAGACAGTGTAACTAATCTGGATTGGGAGAGTTTATTTTCTCTCTCTTTGTACATTAAAAATCACCATGGCCAAAGATAAGGCCGTATCCTTTGCCAAGTTAGCAGTTTTCTATGTCATTAGCTCTCACACAGAACCAGGGAACAGTGCCATGAAATGATTTATATGTAAATTATTTGGAGTTAAAATCATGAATCACTTAACATAAATAATGTAGATGATGGAGCAATGTAAGTTCAATATGGTTCAAGACAAAGTGACATTCATATTAAAAATATTCTCTTGGAAAATTTAACCTAGAGAGTGTTTTTACGTGTTAAAAACAAAGACTACAGATGGGTTACATAGGAAATAGGAAGACCATGTTTTGTAAGATTTTTCTGTAATTCTTTTGTTTCTGGTGGTTCATTTACGAAGTGGATTTTTCTTTCATAAACAATTTTACTAGGACAGAAAGAGGTTGAGAAACAAATGCTACCAACTTCCACCTTCCAAGAAAAACATTCACTCTGCCTCAAGGACTAGCCATTGCCAAGTAGGGTGCAGCGAGCTGAGACAGTGTTAAGTAAATAATGGGGAAAGTGGAGCTGTGATACTTGTTCAGTATTGAAAGCACCAGTGGCCCTTAGCAGAAGTTCTACAGTGCATCTCAGAAGACTTTCCATTGTGCCTTTTCTCGAAGAAGATAATGACTTTGGGGAGTTGTAGTCTCCTTACGCGAAAGATATCCTATTTTAACTCCAGGTTGAGAGCTTGGGGTACTGGTGATGGGGCTGTTTTACAGATACCACTTTAAACTGGCATCACAAATGGAGCTCCTAAAGAGGCAAATTTATAGACTCTACCAACTTTGGAGAAAATGAGGAGCAAGGAGGAGAATGGAAGTGACAGATTCATTTAACTTCAAAATAAAAAGCATTTTACTGCCATGGTAGTAACTTCTGTTGTCTTTGTTTCGCAGAGTGAAATAAATCCATTTGCTTGCTTTTACGTGCTCACAGAAGTATATCTAACCCTGCTTTTTAGTGTGATTAAGGACATGCTTGGCACAGTTGATCTGAAAGCTTAAAATACGTGAATCAGTGCTTGGAGGCTTTGCCAAGTCTTCCTTTGTCTCTGTGCCTGTAAGGGGTTGGTTATACAGGCTTCCCTGGGGAGGGACCGTGGTGCTGTCTGCTGCTTGGTCACTTACACAGATGGGCCTTGGAAGCGGGTAGGAGACACTGAGCTCGGCTTCCCAGCTGTGATTGGTTGGTCTAAGAGCTGCTGTTATTTCAGATTTGGAAGCGTTTGTTGAGTCCTAAGCCAGGAAAAGATTCCCAGCCCTGCTCATTGCAGGGCACACAGATCCTCCTCCCTGCACAGAGCCTGGTACGGTTCTTAACCCCCAGCTCAGTGTGATGCTGCTTGTTCTCTCTTTATGAAAAACTGGATATTTTCAGCTTTCCAGCTATCATCTTTGTTTAGAAAAATTCCCAAGTTGACATTGACTGAAGTATTCCTTTGTGAAAAGTGATTATGAATAGTACAAGGAATGTGGACCCGGATGTCAGAAACACATGTTTACATTTACCTTCTAAAGGCTGTTCTAAGGATGAAGCGTTCAGACGTTACACTCATGCCCTGCCCAGCCACTGACAATTAGTGACTAGATCCTGGGAAATGTTGCTTCCTTTCTGTCCCTACTTCTGGTTAACGTTTGCACTGTCACCTGCCGACACGTATTAAGTGGCTGCTTGGACACACACAGCTCATTCAGTGCTCAAGAAAGACAGCCAGGCACGTGCAGGAGCTCGGGACGGGACGCGTTTCTCTGTATGTTGTTTACTCATTTGTTGCAATTTATACCTCTAGCTGTGGTCAAAAGAATTTCAGGTGGCTTAGAGTATAAAAATACTGTACACATGGGTACAGAAGATAAGCAGGAACCTTCACTAGCATCCTGACCTGGGGATAACATAAATTACTACTGCACTGGAACACTGAATTCATTACGAAAGCTAGTGAGGACCAAGGAATAGGGCCATAAGGCATTTTTGAAAGGTTTTTGTGTCTCGTTTAAAATAGAGCAGTCGCTGTTATGATTCGTGGGTTGATGTATTGAGATAACGCCTTAATTCTGTAAGTCAACATTTTGCTACAGTGCTGATCCCCGCTGCATGACTCAGTGGGCGTGACTATCAGGTGGTGTTTTCAGAGGAGAAGTGATTAACTAGAGTTAAAATGAGAATAGTTGTCCCCACAGAACTGTATGTTTCCAGATTTCTAAGATACAAGATGATAAGGAAGATCCACCTGGTGGATGATTTCATACTCCATCATAGAGGAAGAAAGTTTCTTTTCCCTGAATTCTAGCATGCAATTCAAGTCATCTTGGTAATGACTTAAAACCTAAAAATGTTTAATGCTGTAAGTCAGGCGTCCTCAAACTACGGCCCACAGGCCACATGCAGCCCACCTCGGACATTTATCTGGCCCGCCGAGTGTTTTTGCCACCGCTGCCTGTCCTGCTTAGCAGCTGACTCATCCCGGGGCCCACAGTCCAGCCCTCCAACAGTCTGAGGGACAGTGAACTGGCCCCCTGTTTAAAAAGTTTGAGGACCCCTACCATAAGTGGTGTGTGACGAGCAGGCTGAGTATTCTGGCACGCCTTGTCTGTGTTCCTCAGTGTATACTGAAAGCAAAAAGCGGTTCCGAGGAGGTGGGAAGCCCCGTGCTGTGGGCCACTCTGTGGTGCCGTCACGGCCTCGTCAGGTGCTGGACACGGAAGACCTGGGAGACGGTGTGCTCTGTGTACCAGGGCAGCACCGCTGACCCCTTTCAGGAGATGTTTAGAAATCTTTTCTTTTTAGTAGTGACAGTAAGATATCCACAGTCACCTGTCCTGTCCGTCTGGGAACCAGCAAGACCAAGGTTTGGTTGTCCCTGTGTCAGGAGAGAGGCTTCTATTGGCATCAGATCCACAGACGCCGCAGGGAGAGAGCGGAGGGTTCTGTGGTCTCTGATTTCTGCCCCCACACTCTCCGTTTGGCAGGAGCACCTGATTGAGAATGAAGTGTCCATCCTGCGCCGCGTGAAGCATCCCAATATCATCATGCTGGTTGAGGAGATGGAAACAGCAACGGAGCTCTTTCTGGTGATGGAATTAGTCAAAGTAAGGACTGGGAGATTTCCTTGGTGCCCAATCGCAAGACATGACAGTCTTGAAGGACCTCATCAGTAAACGGTTTTGCTACCTTGTAACTTTCTTTACAATCATCAGTTTTTGTGGTGCTTGTATCAATTTCCTCATCTGTTCCAGGACAGTGAACCCTTTCCCCTGCCTTTATAGGACTGCACGGTTGATGACTGGATTGTGTTCTTTTGTGTATCCTGTAGGGTGGAGATCTCTTTGATGCAATTACTTCTTCAACCAAGTACACGGAGAGAGACGGCAGCGCCATGGTGTACAACCTGGCCAACGCCCTCAGGTATCTCCACGGCCTCAGCATCGTGCACAGGGACATCAAGCCCGAGAATCTCTTGGTATGTCAGCCCTGCTTCTCCTGGTCCAGCTCTGTGGCTCTTCTTTTAAAGTGACTGTAATTATTTACAAACAGTGTTAGTTGAGAGTCAGTACCAATCCTGCGGAGACTGACATTTAAAAAATCAGCAAGACTTGTGTCAAGGACCATAAAATACTAATGGATTTCTTAATTTGATCTACATTTACTTTTTACTAGACGCAAGAAGATAAATTTTTATTTATGTTTTGATGGATGGTACTGATTAAAGGAAAACACTTTATGGGGCAAAAACTTCTGGAGAATTAAGACAGAATTAGAGCCTATCGGAGGCAGAAGTGGAACATGCCAGTGGTTCATTTATGTGCTGGGCAGAATTTTACAAGTAGTCTAATTTTACAAGTAGTCATCTCAGCATAAAAGATGTGAACGGACGGCGCTTGTGGCTCAGTGGGTAGGGCACCGGCCCCATATACAGAGGTGGTGGGTTTGAACCTGGCCCCGGCTAAAAACTGCAACAAAAAAATAGCTGGGTATTGTGGCAGGTGCCTGTAGTCCCAGCTACTTGGGAGGCTGATGCAAGAGAATCGCTTAAGCCCAG